GAAAGAAGCTTTCCAGCGATGAGGAACATGAAGTATTCTATGTATAACTTGGTTGATACATACCATGTTTGGCATGTTACATTTAAAAGTAACATTCAGGCAATAGAAATGGACTAATTGAATTTATTTATTTTTACAAATGGAGCTACCAGCTGCTGGCGAACTTAAAGGAATCCTAAAATACCTGTTGTTTGCCAGTTTATGAGAAGCAAGTAAAATCTAAAAGTTGAAATCAATATTCTACTAAAATGACAAAAGCTAAAAGCTTTCAGACTGGATGGCCCAGGAGGCCCCTTCTGACTTGCTCTGTTTCTATGTATTCTCAGCTTACCTCTACTCCACAGAAAGCAACTCCCCCCCCAAAAAAAAAGCTGAGAAAAAGTGGAAACACAGGATTCATTGAATACTAATTTTGCCATATGAAAGTCTATAGGAAAATGAATCTGTGCAGTCTCGTTTTCTGCATTATCTCTATCAGTTTCTGCAGCATCTCTGTCAGCTTCTTGTGCATTCATTTGCCCAGACCGAGACAGACTTCTCTCTTCTATGGATATTCCTTCCCTTTGTGTATTTGCAAACACATTCCAGGACTTTCACATGCTGTAGAAGACGGAGGAATACGAAACAGAAGCAAGTGGCGTTGGAGGGTCAGCCGTGCAAGGACTGTGCCCATGTTGTGACAGATAATATGCTTGGCAGAATCTCGGGCTACATTCCTGGACCAAGTATTCTCCAAGATGTGAAAGTACCTTTCCAGTGACAGATCCAAAGTGAGCTGCTGGTGTTGTAATCCGGTTAAATGCACAGCAGTGCTATCATCACGTGCATCTCTGTCTTCGGGTTTCGAATCCCAAGTGCTTTGCAGCAGCACGCATTGGCTGGCAGTAAAATTCTTCTGCTTCCTGCTTTCACTTTGCATTCTTCTGTGCTTGTAAGTGGAGGCACAGATCTGGTTTGCACGTAGCAACAGCCTGCATTTTGTTTAACCTGTGGGGTGTCATGGCTGCAGGGGTCCTCTGCCTTTTGCCTGCCTGTCTTGTCTGCTTTGTATCCCATCTCTTAGCCCAGGGATGCCCCTTTCCTGAGTTGTTTGATGTGACATCCAAATGCATGACACTTGTGTAATGGAGAGATAAACAGTCTGGCATTTTAAACATTGTTTGCTTTTTTGTAGAACTCTGGGTTGTTTTCTCCTCAACAGCCCAGAGTTCTGGCTTCACACATCATGCTCAACAGCCTAGGGGGTTGTGGGCTGTTTTCTGAATTGGGCTCAACATGGAAGTGGTCAGCTGGTGGGGGGCAGTTTCCTCACATGGCTATTGCCCCAGCGAGCCATGGGCCCTTACATCTGAACCAGTGCATACTTAGATGAGGGAAGCCAACTGACTAGACAGTCACTCGGCAAGGGAAATTTTGGCAATGGCACACTGTCCGATTCAGGTGCAGCGCTTGTTGAAAACATTTGAAGTTTCCCGGTTCCACTGCTGCATCCAGAAGACAGCCTCCTCGAGGGCAGAGTCCCTTGCATTTCTGAGTACTTTAAGATCTTAGAGCTTTTTGAACTTGTTCAGTTTTAGTACTTTTCAAAGGAGATGACTGTTCCGCCTCGCTGAGTTTTACTACAGTCTGTGTTATTGTTTTAGTCTTTGCATTTTTTTCTCCTTGCAGACTGCAAGACTACAGATAAAATGTGAGTCACTTTTACATGCTTTATAACTTCTTTAGCCCTTCTGCAGCCCAACTTCACAATGTCACGAAGAAGCAAGTTTAGCCCTTAGGAAGCATATCTCATTGCAATAATATATGGACATTAACGCATCATGCTCTCCCATGGCACCTTCCCATTACTTATGTTAATAGTCAGCAAAGAAAATATTTTGTCACTCCCAGTCTCCTGTAGAACTTCGTCTGCTGTACAGGTCATGTGCATGTGTGTGTGGCAAGTCTGCAGGAACAGCCTCGGTAGATTATAAGATCCCTACCTTGATGGACCCTCAGATCTATCTCTTGCATGTTGCAGAGGATTCTGGGAAGTATTCTTTGGGGTATACAGTTCCTAGAGTTGTTGGGTGTTTTTTTCTCACACTCTGAACCGAAGAGGGAATCACGTGGCACAGCCAGAACTCTCCTGCAGTCACTCACAGTGAAATTCCTGAGGAGGATGGAGCCAGATGCTCCAACCCAACCGTCCTCATTCCATGGACTAGATTGTTGTGGATGCCGGTCGTTTAATTATGCCTACAATTAGTCACTGTTAAAGGCCACCAGTGTGTCACATGCTAATTACTGTGCCATATACATGGTAGTGATGCTGCTTCACGGATCATGATGCCATTGTGTGGATGGCTTTCCAGTCAAGGGTTTTGTCATAGCCTCCCAGTTTAGGGGGTCTGAGACCAGGAGATGGGATTCCTTGCAGGAGGCATGCTGCATCTCCCTGCCTCGGGCCAGCTATGGGCGGTTGCCCTGGATTGCTTTGCACAGAACCCGAGGCAAAATTTGGGGATGTTTGTCCATCTTTATAGTGTACATGGAACAGCAAAAATAGTTCAGCAAATGAGCACTCTTGTTCTAATAAGTTCGTTGGGGCTTCCTAATTATTGCACCCATTTGTATAACTGCTTTCCAGTGAAATTACCAGAGTGGTTAATATGATGTAAAAATAACACACAGGAGTGCTCAATAATTTTTAAAAAAATATGCAGTGTTTTGCAGATGGATATACCCCGCTGGCTTTCCTACATTTTGTTGTGTTGTTGCCTGGAATTGAGTGGATTTAATCGGCATTGGTACCATTTAATGTACGCAACATGCTGAATACTGTGAAGGTGCACATTATTTTTATTGTGGCATAAAAGTTAAGTAAACAAAAACAGACACTTGTTGGTTGCATAAACATTCAATTAACCAAGGTGTTTATTTGGTTCATGCGCCCTTCTACAATCAATGCATAAAGCAATCTTAAAACAATATTTAAAACAATGTCTTGTAGTAAAATATTATTCAACATTATTAAATAATTGCTAAAACAATGGAGTAATATTATGAAATATATAAGGTAACAAAGTAAAATGCCAAAATGGGGCATAAGTACTTACAAAAAAGCAAGCAAGCAAACATGTGCAGAACAGTGTCTGTGTCCTTAGTTCCCAAAAACTAACACCCCTTAATTATCTGTGATCTCATCTTAATAGCTGCTGCAAAAATGTTTGTAGCCTTATTTATGCCAGCCAGCAGATGTGAAACATAAATCTGTCCTTTCAAGCAGCAAAATAAGTAACAGGGTTAGAAAGTGGGCCTTAATATTATTATAAAAATCTGCATTCCAGTAAAACATGATCCGCTGCTTCAACCTGTCCTGGTTGGGAAGGACACAGTCTTAATTCAAAAGGAACTTTAAAAAAATGACCTTCCATGACTGCTGATGGAAGACAATTAAAACAAGCAGCTATAAATAGTTGCATGTATTTAACTATACATGAAACCTGGAGGGCTGGTCACTGCCACAAATATTGGTTGCATACATATTCACCCCCCTTAGTCAACACTTTGTAGAAGCACCTTTGGCAGCTGCAAGTCTTCTTGGATAGGTCTTTTTCAGCTTTCCACATCTGGACCCTGTTGTGTTTGCACATTTTCCTGGCAAAACTGCACCAGCTTGTGAGGTGGATTGGAGACCAATGATGAATAGCGACATTCAAGTCCTGCTATGGATTTGCAATTAGACTTAGCTTGAGTTTCAACTGGGCCATTCTAAGACACTTGGGTTCTTGTCTTTAAACCACTCCAGTGTTACTTGGGCTGTGCGTTTAGGGCCGTTTTCTTGCTGGGCGGTGAACCTCCACCTCATTCCCAAGTCCTTTGCAGACTGAAACAGGTTTTGCTTTTAGAGTTGTCCTGCACTGGACCCAACGCATCTTGCCGTCCGTCCTCGCCAGTTTCCCAGTTCCCGCTGAGGAAGCGCTTCCCCCCAGCGTGATGCTGCCACCCCCGTGCTTCACCGTGGGGATGGCGATCCTGACCCCACGAGCACGAGCACTCCTGACTTGGTGCCACCACTTGCAGCCAGGCCAGGAAGTTCCGTTTTGCTCTCATCAGGCCAGAGAACTGGTTTCCGCCCGTTTGCTGTGCCTCCCCCATGACGTTCTGTATGCTGCAGGTGGGCTTTGATATGGGTTTGCTTCAACACGGCCTTTCCTCTCACCACTTTTCCACAAAGACCAGCTTCGTGGCGCATCTGGGTGACCAGTGCCCCATGGATGGTTTCTCCCGTCTTAGTTGTGGCTCTCTCCAGCTTCTCCAGAGTTACCATTAGCCTCTCGGTTGCTTATCTAGCTAATGCCCTGCTCACCTGGTCATGCTGGTGGATCATCTTTCCCAGTCAGAAAAGAATATGCTTGTGCCATATTCTTTCCATTCTGTACTGTTGGATTTAAGTGTTGCTGCAGGCATGTTTGGGAATGTTTTTATAACCCGAAGCAACTTCTGCACAGCTTTGATTGCTCCTTCGTCTCGTGATGCTGTTTGTTTAGATCTGCTCTCCAGCAAACCGTGCGGCCATCCAGCAACAGAGATGGCACCGGAATGGTGCACAATGGGGCCCCATTCAGCTGCACTCACAGTCCTGTGGAGGCCGTGAGTCGCCCCAGAGGGGCTTCTGGCAGGTCGCAGCAAAGGAAGTCAATCCATGGGCAACCCACAAGTGCCAGATTTTGGCTACTTTTGTGCCACGAGAAAATATTTTCCCAGATAGATCCATTTCTGTTTCAGGTTGCAAAACCAGAAAATGTGGAGCAGTTGGGTGGGGGGGGTGGGGGTGTTGAGGTAAATACTTCTGTAAGGAACCTTAACTATATCGACTGTTCATCTCAGGGACAGAGATGAGACTCAAGGCATTATCTGAAGATCACAACTATAGACGCCCGTCCAATGTGTGAAGTGCTTTACATAATGGCGGTGCAGAGTCTGCTTCAGGGGTGGGTGCTGCTACTGGGAGGTGAGGTTGCATGGGATGGCAGCCTACATTTGTGGAAGCTGGCCAGCAAGTTTATTTTCTTTCTAATGCTTAGGCCTTGTCATTTCTTTGTTCTTTCCTGTAGTCTATAGGAGCGAGTCCTCTTACATTCTGTCTGTTTTTGGCATGTGCTGAGCTCTGTATGTTCTGTACTACGGATAATCCTTTATATGGTAGCACACTCTGTGTTGCCACCCATTGCACAGCGAACTATCAGTGAAGGACAACTAGTGACAATTGGTGGCACTTGCATAGCTGAGACAGGTGCCCCCAGGGCTTGGCACGATGGCTAGTATTGGCCCTCCCATTGCTGGATGTTTGGGCACGGTTCACTCTCTGGCCATGCAAATAAAGGCCTTGTTCTGCCTGCAGTTTCTGGGTGCAAGCACAGCCCTCTCTGTGCGTTGTTCCCAGACCTTAAACCCTTGCCTTCTTGTCCCCTTTCTGACTTAGGCTATGCTCTGCCTCCTGAAGGAGTGCCCTCTGACGCTTGTCTTCCTGTATCTTGCTACCTTCCCCAGCCAGGCATTCCCCTTTTCCAGAGTCCTGATAGTGCACTTAAGTGCTGAACTCCCCCAAATCATGACATACCAACCTACAAAGTTAGTCTGTGCTTTGATTACTTCCACCCACCAAGGTACTTACCACTCTTCTTCCTCTACAGGTATAAAAATCTCTCTGCAGGATTGCTTTCTGTTGGAGGAGTGGTGAGAAAAAAAGGTAACCAAGGCAGGTATTTGGATGGCGGTAGCATTGATCAGCTGTTTTCTCCTGCTCTTACTGCGGACTGATTTACTGCTGGCTGCATATTTTTACTCTCCCCCCACCCACACACCACGTCTAATTCCTTCAAGTCCAGGCTTTCTAAATAAGCGTGTTTTGTGGGTTGCTGTACTGTTTACTTTGTCCCTAGCTTATGTTTTTATCTTATAATTCTTAACTCATTTGAGACAAGTCATCTCTGGAGTATGCTTAGCAGTACTGGAGGTGAGGAGCTGATCCTTGAGAACAGCTCCTAGAACGTAAGTGGATTCTGTGCCTTCTGTTACGGGAACTTCTTTATCGCTGTGGCGAGGGAAGAATGGATTTTACAAACCAGTGTAAATGCATGAAGCTGCCTTAAGAGATGGAGCAGGGCAGTTGCAGGCAGAAAATTTTGGAGGGCTTTCATTCAAAGGGTTGCTGTAAGTTGGAGATGACTTGGTGGCACATAAAAGCAATGGAAAGCGGTCTTAAACTGAACCCTTTCTGGTTTAATCCAGTATTGTTTACTGAAGCCTTCCCCAGCCTCACGCCCCCCCTGTGGTTGGGTTCATACAACAGGACAAGCAATCCTGCTTTGTTATCGTGGTTTGCATTTTTTTTTACCATGATCTACCTGACAGGTGATCGAGTGGTTTCTATATTATTGTGCTTCCCCGGCGCAGTCTTCCTGCTCTTGGGATGTACCCATTAGCCTCTGCACCTGGAATTCAACCCCAGGGGACATCACTCCTTGCCCGTGTTGCTTCCCTCTTCCTCATTGATCCACATATAGAGGCTGGGTGACTGGAACAGCTCCTGCACAGGGGCTACTGTTTTCAGGGAACCTGTGGTAGCTGCCTACCAGGACCATGGAAACCCTGGTACTGGGTTCAGACAATGGGACAAGCTATGCTGGAATGGAGAAACTATAGGACAGACTCTTATAGCGGTTTCTAAAGGCCAGACTTATCATGGCGAAATACCATGATTGGGTTCAGACAACACAACAGACCAACAATGCTAAAAGAAAAACCCACCATGGCTTGTTCTATTATCTGAACTCAGTCAATGTTTAGACTTCGGCTTCTATCACCTGCAGCCATTAGCATGGCTAATGGTCAGCAGTGCCAGGTGTGGTCATCCAAACTGTTTGGAGGGTGCTGATTAGGGTGGTCTGGTCTCATCCTCACTTGCCCTCCTGGGTCTCGGGCAGGGGTCTTTTCCAGCACTGTGACCTGGCACAGCTCATGCATTCCCACCATGCATGGACAGCGCTGCTTTTCTGACACCACATGTGACAGGAGCGCTATTAAAATTGTCATTGTCAAGATGGAGAAAGAGCATAATATTCACAACAGAAAGTCTAGCTTGGATAAGAAGCATAAGGAGTATGCTAATTGTGGCATTGGAAATGCTGTGGAATGCTGCAGTTACTGGCCTTGTGTTCGACCCCTCCTATAAAAACCCTTTATTTTCCTTGTGGAGGCTTTGAAATATGTTCCAAAGCACATCTGGCAGCAAATATAACCAAGCAGTATGCAGTCCATGCACTACCTGATCGCACAGACACATGGTGGAAAAAGTTGCCTTGTGCATGGGATGCATATGTGGGAAGCAGAATATTGGAAGTGGACCCTTTTACATTCAGAAATATTACGGTCATCCAAAAATGTGGTCATGAGCTCTTGAGTTTCCACCAACTATTGTCTCAGCGCATTCTGTTTCCACAATGATGCAGATTTGTACAAAGATATGCAGGAAACTTAGGGGTTGCGTGAGTACTAGATCTGAAGGTAATTACAAGAATTGGTACGAGACTGGAAAGCTTAAATTAATAGCGAGGCAGCCAACACAGATGTTATAATCTGACCCAGAAGCCTCTGTCTGCAGTTTGAATGTAGCTCTCCAGTCTGGGACGCTGGCTTACAAGCACCCATGTTGACTCTGTTCCCGTAGGTAAATCTTCCATAACAGGCTTTGGTTGTATCCTGAATGGAACGACAGAATCCAAATGGTAGCAGTTTTGGAGCCGACGCGCAGCCATATGAGAGGGAAAACAAGACAAGCACTGTTCCTGCACATAGGTTAAGGCTCACTAATGCTTGTTAAACAGGCTCAGCAAGTCAGTTACAAAGGTCAGATGCCAGTGCGTTGGCTGTTCATTGTCAGAGTCCATGTTCCAATCCTCCTGCTCGCTTTCGCAGCTTGGAGTGGCGGCCTTCAACTTTTGCAGCTCCTCCGTACCTTTAACCCTAACCTGCACAATCCACGATGGGACCCTTTGCAAAGGTTAAGCTTTAAAAAATGTTGTTCTGCCAGGATGACCCACCTGGACGAAAAGGAGGTTAGTTGACCCATCAGTTGCTGGCCAACGGCTTGAGGGTGTGATAGACCAGGGCACCTGTTGCTGCCGGTGGAAAGGCTTTTTAGGCTTTCTGCTGAGAACTGCAGGCAGGCGGCATCGTTCACGACTCCCTGTTCACCACTTCCAGTGGAGGTTATGACCATTTTTATGATAAACTGCTTATCTTCCTTAGCATAGGCTTGATAATCATGGAATAGGTTTATTTCCTTTTCATTCTTTGGTGGTTTCCTAAGAGTGGTGGAATCACCCCCCCACCCTTAGCATTTGTTCACTGAAAATCAGACAGCTGCAAACATCAAAACAAGAATTATATTCTGTTGCGTATGAGAACTCTTTTCTTGGCATGAAAGCAAAAATTTTCAAGCTTTATATATCTAATAGGTATGGAATTTTAATTCAGGATCTTTTTCCTTGTGTGAATTGTAGAAAAAACTGAGGTATTTTTTAATATATTTCAAGAGCATATAATACATAAAATCAGAAATAGTATATAACTATCCCCCTCAAATTACAGTAACCTTAATAAGTTTTTAACAATCAAGTGGATCACAATTGGTAACAAATGTCCTTACCTGATTTGTGGTTAGGCCTACAAATGATCTGAGATTTGCACGTAAAAGGGATAAATTTAGTGGTAGTACATCTTAGCTTACTTGATCTTCTTCTGAGAAGTTAGATTTGTTGGTCATGCAAGAACCAAGCAATATAAATGATCACTTTGGGAATTAGCTGGTTTGCAGAACGCATGTCCTTACTGTGATGATATATATGAACCCCAGTAAGGTATCGATTAGCCTGCGTGTAACAGAAAATCCTGCGCACACAGAAGACAAAACAGAGAACACACAAGTACAGGATTCAGCAGGAGGTGGGGGCATGTGATATTTAATTCAAGGGCAGTGGTTCTTAGAAAGGATGCAGCTTCTCTGTCTAAGCACAGACAGGGTTGCACCCTTCAGGGTGCCAGTGCGACGCAATTCTAGATGCTCTGCAATGAGGAGGAGGAGGAGGAGGAGGAGGAGCAGGATCCGCCACTGCAGCTCAGGCCCTGCCCAGGGTGGAAAGTGAGTTTTCTCTCTTCGCCTGCATCTGCCCCAGGCCGACACAGTTCAGCAACCCAAATGCCAGGACTCTTAGCGGGTGCATTAGGCTGTGGGGCTGCAGGGGTGCTGACCCCAAACACCTCGCTTGGGGGCGTTTTGCTGGCTATCCCTCCAGGAGCACAGCCAGTGCACCTTCCAGTCCACCGAGCTTTTTGTGAGCAAAACAAGGCTACTTGGAGTGGGTGGGAACACCGTCCCCCCCCCGGCTGCCTTTGGAGCATTTCTCAGCAAGGGGAACATTTAGGATTGATCTGCAGGTCATGATTGCGTCTTTATTCTTTGACTTCAGTTTCAATCTTTAGGATGCATTTTCCTGTTCAGCCTGGCTGTGGTCTGTCCATCTTCCCTGAAGCTTCTGGTGACCCTGAAAGCTTTTCTTCCATAGAATATCTCTCACCAACACTTCCTAGAAGGGAAACTGCGTACTTCTGACGCATATCTGCTTCAGCAAGTTGAGTCTCTCAAAAGCCCTTTAGGAAAAAGAACTCTTCTGAAATCTTCTGCTCATCCCATCCTTTCCAGGAGTAAGTGTACATGCATGTTTTCCTCAGCCTCATTGTCTTCAAGACCACACATACAGCAATCCTATATCTCCACTTAGGAGAAAGGGGTATAGAGCAATGTTGCAGGTCTGCAGCTCAGTCCTTTTAATGTCAGCTCAGAACGGAGAAGGAATGTATGGTGCCTCTGCCCCAGGTCTCCCCTGAGGACCCAGTGGAAAGGGGCTTTCTTACGGAAGTCTCCCAGAAGTGTTTGTGTCAGTCATCCAACTGCTCCAACAGAGCTCCTTACAGAGGGGGAGGTGAACCCTTCTCAGTCCAACAGGCTGCAGTCCCCAGAGATAACTTGTTCGAGACAGGATAAATCATATAAGAAGTTAAACGCTCTCCTCTGCTCCTTTCTCTTCATGGAGATTATTCCAGTAGGACTTGCTGACTCCTAGTTCAAGTGTCATGTTACATGAACGTTATTTTATTTACTTTCTTGCAGAAGTGTATTTTTTTTCCTAGCCAGCTCTAGAAATGAAAGTCCACATATTTCTTTCAGTTCGTAGTATTGCTACAGTAGTAGGCAGTCTATTTTCTGTCGAGGGCCATATGGCCCTAGGAATTGGAATGTCAGAGGAATCCACAGCAAATTCAATGATTTCTTTGAATCTGACCCATAGATTGTGCAGCAGACTGACTTTATTTTGTGTTATAAGGATTTCCTTGTCTTGCAGGCCCCTTTTTGTTTCTTAGTTTTAGGTCAGCTTGCACAAGTGCGCAGTTGTGCTCATGCACATCAAACATACTTGCACTTGTGCTAATGCAAACGGGCAACAGTAAATAATTCCTTAAAAATTGGATTTAGAGAATGGGTGGGTATAGAAAACCTCTGTAGAAAAGAGGGTTGAAAAGGCTGAGATGGGCAAGCTGTGCATTGCCATTCTTAGGATCTTCAAATAGTGGAGCGGAAATTTCCTTACGGGAGTCCCCGCCCCCCCGCACCCAAAGGAATTAATGAGG